CCGGGACCTGTGTTCAACTTCCTTTCCTCTTCTTATCTAATATTTACAAACCTGCCAGTAGAATTCAAATTAATTTATTAATACGAGGTAACGGCAATAGCCGTATATATGCAAAGATGCCGTTCAAAATTTAAAAATTTTGTCATATTTAAGTTTTTTAATATAATTAAAAGACGAGTAATAAAAGCTACCTTGTACATGTACGCAACTGATCATCATTTGTCTGTCTGTGTGTCGGTGTGTTGTCCGTGTGTGTCTGTGTCGATGTGTCGTCCGTGTGTCTGTCTGTGAGTCGGTGTGTTGTGTGTGAGTCGGTGTGTTGTGTGTGAGTCGGTGTGTTGTGTGTGAGTCGGTGTGTTGTCTGTCTGTTTGTCTGTCGGTGTGTTGTCTGTCTGTTTGTCTGTCGGTGTGTTGTCTGTCCGTCTGTTTGGGTCCGAAAACTTGGGAAATGTGAAAAAAATTGTGGCAGTAGATGGCAGCGGCCGTATTTTCGGCAGCTGCTGTGGTAGGTGGGGCGGTGAAGGGTGGCAGCTAAGAAGAGGGATAAGCCAAAAATCTAAACCAAACCAAAGACATTAGAAAACTAACTTGTACACGGAAATCTATCATGTCTGTAGCACCCCTAGTTCAAGTATGGTATTTATGACGGTGTTTACATTCCTTTCCTGCAAGTAGAGAGAAATAAAGTTCAGATCTCAGATTGAAAATAGCCTCTGCCCAATTGGTTCTACTCTGAGCGTATGACTTTATAAATAAAATTAGTGTCCAATATTATTTAAAGTTTGATTAAATATTTATTTTAAAATATGTAATTCATAAATATGTTTTGATGAAAATATGAAATCTTCTACCTCTATCATATTGGTCTAGTACAGTTTCAATGTGTTCATTGCATGTATTTGAATGGATGCCAAATTGACACCTCTTGCCCACTTACTGACTTCCATGAAGTGTGTATTGGCAGTAAGGACTTCGTATTATGTTTCGTTTAAATAGAATTACATGAAGGATGTACATGCAACCGCTTTATAGCCATGCCACATATCATCAGTGGATTTATGTGGTGGAACAGAAACATACTTCTGGGGGGGGGGGTGCCGTTGCTCCCGCTACCCGCAGGACCCGCCGCCCCGCAAACCGGTCAGTGCCTCCGTAGGCTGTACAACCTAAAGCCCGCGCCTACATAGCCTGCAAACGGCCGAGGTGGAAATGGCACGAACGTGTTACGCGTCAGTGGCAAGATATACGCGCGGGACGAGTCGGCAGAGCAGGCCGATTCCTCATCGCCGCCCCCGCGCTGGTTTTCCTCCTACCGCTACCATCTTTCATCTACCTACCTCCTTTCTCACAACCTCCCGTTCATTTTCATCTCTACCTCTCTCACCACCTCCACCACCATCACCACCCTCCGGCCGCACCACCATTCACCGCCACCACGAGCACCGCCCACACACGAAAGCACCGCCACCACGAGCACCGCCACCACGAGCACCGCCACCACGAGCACCGCCACCACGAGCCACGCCACCACGAGCACCGCCACCACGAGCACGCCACACGGCACCGCCACCACGAGCACCGCACCACGAGCACCGCCACCACGAGCACGCCACCACGAGCACCGCCACCACGAGCACCGCCACCACGGCACCGCACCACCGAGCACCGCCACCACGAGCACCGCCACACGAGCACCGCCACCACGAACACCGCCACCACGAGCACCGCCACCACGAGCACCGCCACCACGAGCCACCGCCACACGAGCACCGCCACCACGAGCACCGCCACCACGAGCACCGCCACCACCAGGCACCGACCCGCAACCACGAGCGCACACGGCCACCACGAGCACCGCCACACGAGCACCGCCACACGAGCACCGCCACCACGAGCACCGCCACGACGAGCACCGCCACGACGAGCACCGCCACCACGCAGCACCGGCCACCACGATCCCGCAACCCACATCGCCATCGCTTCGCCAATCACCACGATCGCCATCACCACGCATGCCATCACCACGATCGCCATCACCACGATCGCCATCACCACGTTCGACGTTCGCCATTTCACCACGTTACCCGTGCGCCATCACCACGATCGCCATCACCACGATCGCCATGCACCACGATCGCTCCCATCACCACGTCAGATCGCCATCACCTCGATCGCCATCACCACGATCGCCATCACCACGATCGCCATCACCCGCCCCACGATCGCCATCACCACGATCGCCATCACCACGATCGCCATCACCACGATCGCCATCACCACGATCGCCATCACCACGATCGCCATCACCACGATCGCCATCACCACGTCGCCACACCCACGATCGCCATCACCACGATCGCCCATTCACCTCGATCGCCATCACCACGATCGCCATCACCACGATCGCCATCACCACGATCGCCATCACCACGATCGCCATCACACGCATCGCCATCACCCACGATCCCATCACCACGTTCGCCATCACCACGTTCGCCCATCACCACGTTCGCCATCACCACGTTCGCCATCACACGATCGCCATCACCACGTTCGCCATCACCACGATCGCCATCCACCTCGATCGCCATCACCACCGATCGCCATCACCACGATCGCCATCACCACGATCGCCATCACCACGATCGGCCATCACCACGATCGGCCATCACCACGATCGCCATCCACCACGATCGCCATCACCACGATCGCCATCACCACGATCGCCATCACCACGATCGCCATCACCACGATCGCCATCACCACGATCGCCATCACCACATCGCCATCCACCACGGATCGCCATCACCACGTTCGCCATCACCTCGATCGCCATCACCTCGATCGCCATCACCACGATCGCCATCACCACGATCGCCATCACACGTTCGCCATCACACGACCACCATCACCACGCACCACTTCCAGATAATTTTCGCGTAGCCCCTATCTCTGTAGCGACTCGACAGGGAAGTCCTGGGGTTCGAGTCAAGACGTGGCTAATTTTTTAGTGTGGCTAGGTTAAACGTGGTATCGTTTTAAGTGGCGCAGGGCATCAATATTTGTCTCTGCAATGCCTCTGACCAAGAAGTTCTAGGGTTTAAGTCTTGACAGTGGCATAATTTGCAACACTAGCGAGATAAACTTCAGCCGCTGTCTGGAGGAGGATTCTAGTTGCCGGCCGCGCTGACCGGTAGTTTTCTCTGATGAAAACCAGGCGAATGCCGGAGCAGTATCCTGGCAAAGGGGTCTCAGACCACGCATGATCATCCTTCGTTGCCCTCTTCCATTACACATACATACACTACATAAATCGGCTGGTCTGACTGTAGCCTAAAGCGTGTCCAGGCTGGGGCGATCTCCACAGGCGGACATACCTGGAAAGATAATTTCCCGCAAATCGACTTTTGGCGTAACCACTTTAGGCATAAAAAATCATTGCCTAATGAGACTAATGACCACAGCAGTTCTGCCCGGAAACTTCGACCAATCAACCACGACCAAACCTTCCTCTTCCACCCCACCTTCTCATCTTCCCCTACATAGTTATTATCGCGGTTAAAGCTACCATTTCCTTCGAAACAATTTCAGTCATCATAAACCAATCCTAACCACCCCGATGAACAAACCCAATATCTTCCTTGATTCGCACAATCACGATCGTCACATTTACCATCACTGCTAGCGTTACAGTCAAAGAGCTTGCTGCACTTCCCTCATATGCCTGTTGTCCCCACATGAGCAACATCTGGTCTACCCTCCACGCGATGGCCACAATTCATCGCCGTGCGCGGGGTGGGGGCGGAGGGCGGGGAAAGCGGGCGCCGCCCGAGAAAGCGCACCACCCGCTTCCGGGCAGCCGATCTCTGCTTCCGCCCGCGTGGGCGCCCCCACCTCTCGCCTTTGCGCTCCGCCGCCTACAAGAGGAGAGGGGAATTAGCTCTTTAAAAATCAAGGAACAATTTGTTCGATTGTGGAGCAACAGTAGTAATTTGTTATCTTATGAATGTCTGGCGAAGGGCGAATGTACTGACGAAAAGTTGACGGAGGGGTGAAAAGAGGAGGAAGTATAATAGGCCGTTTGCAGACTGCTTTCCGCAGTCAACTTTTCCTTCGCCTACCTCCCTAAAACGGCACAACACAATTCCATTCCCTTCTGTTTTTCTCCTTTGTACGAGGATTTATTTCTGCGTTTCGAGTGATCTGCATATTGATCGATTATAATATTTCCACTAATCAAGAAACATTTGCATGTCCTTTCAGAGCACTACCAACGTTAAAAACCAAAAATCGCTTATAAGTTTGTGGAGTCAAAATATGAAATCGCTTATCACGAGCATTTTCTTACCTCTTTGACGTAACGTATACAATTCCGAACATTCTGCCATGTTTACCCACGTCAGAGGTTTTCTTTCCACTGGTGTGACGAATACTTATGAACGTGAACTAACATTTTTACTCCTTCCGAAACACCGCATGAACGAAACAGCATGGAGTCGGCTATGCTTCACGAAAATTGTGAAAGGGTATTAGCTGGGGAACGAGGGTGTGAGGGCAAACTGGCCGCGGGATGCTCTCGGGCGCTTCAGGTATAAGAGGTTTGTGCTTTCGATGGTGTAACGGTTAGCGTATCGGGCTGTTATTTCTATGTTCGCAAGTTCAAACCCGATCGAAGCAGTGGATTTTCCAAAATCCCTTCGGGAGGGAGGGTAAAACTGGCTGACCCATGTAGTAGATTTACTGCATGTAAAATAGCATCAAGCCTAAAAGAAGCCTTCGAGCTAAATTTCAATCACCTGTTTCGTCGCCCGAGTAATACCTTCTCTCTCCGCTAGATGGTGAAAGGAGTTTAGCAAATTTAGTGTGGCCAGCGGACGAGCACATTTCATGGTCTGAGTCTTTCTACGTAAAATAAGGCATCATTGAATTGAACGAAATTGAATAGAGTCATCGCCATACACGCGGCAATCCTCAAGTGTGCTTGTATGTGTGTGTTGCAGCGTTGGCCGCGGGCGCGCTGTGGCTGCTGGGGGCTGGCGGCGGCGGGCGCCTGCCGCCGGGGCCGCGCGGGCTGCCCTTGGTCGGGTCGCTGCTGTCGCTGGACGCGCGCGCCCCGCACCTGTCGCTGACGGCGCTGGCGCGGCGCCACGCCCCCGCGGGCGCCTTCTCGCTACGCCTGGGCGCCGTGCGCTGCGTCGTGCTGACGGACGCCGCCCTCGTGCGGCGCGCCTTCGAGCTGGACGCGTGCGCCGGGCGCGCGCCGCTCTTCCTCACGCACGGCATCATGGGCGGCAAAGGTCAGCCCCGAGGTCGCTTACATGTGGCCGAGAATACCTTGGATACGAAAACAAGTAGAAAGGAAATGTCATCAAATGTAAATAATACAAATTACAGGATGTACTATAAATATTAATTATCACTTTTACCACTACCACAGACAACTGATACTAAGAATAGGAATGGCGACAAATAGAATGTTCTTCGAATTACCCGAGTGAGTATCATAATTTGGGAAGCGCTTCTATTCCTAGAATCGATGACGACACCGCTCGACGCGCACACCTTGATACTACCACTACAGCAACTCTTTTTTTTTAAATGTATAGTCGCATCAACCCTAGGTTCATAGCTTTCATCTGTTTATAATTTTACATTATAATTCGATATTTGATTTTACATTTGTTATATACACAGTACACTGATTTCAATAACAAGGAAATCATTTTAATTATACAAAACTTGACACCTAGTCATGGCTGATATGTTAATATGCGCAGAAAGGTCAATTACATTTCATGAAATATTTTGGTATTGTAGAAAAAAGTTGTAATTTCCTCTCAATTTACACCAATACTTGGCTTTGCTTTCTTTGACGACTCTTCTAGTGATGGCCTTCCTGCTTGCATAGGAGACATACAATATTGTCAGTGGAAAATAAAATTCCGTATGTTGTGTCTTAATGGCATAGCAGTGCAGAATGCGGTATCTTGTCAATATCAACTTGATAAATATAAATCTGCCTCCTAAAGCTCAGAATTTACGTACACATCCTAAAGCTCAGAACATAAGAGAAACCAATTTACAGATCCCGAACCTGATAAATGACAAATTAGTGGAGCATTTGATTCTATTATTTAATATACTCAGTATTTAAAAAAATTAAAACCATAAATTAAAATGAAAAAGTAGTCTGGTAGCTCAGAGCGAAGTCACTCGCCTTGCACCATGGAGGCCCGGGTTCCATTCCCTTTGAATCCCGGACAGTTTCTTGAGAAGTTTGTTCCAGTAAAACCAGTTTACCTGCTCTACAAGGGCTAGTTCAACCCCTGTCAAGTGTCGTAAACTGTACTCCTAATTTGTTCCCAATTCTGACCGTTGTGTAGTGACGCAAGAGCGTGTAGTAAGAGGTGCATACGCGAAGATGCTACCTGGCGGTACTCCTGACACCTGACTACGACGAAACGTGACGATTAGGGCCATGTTAATGGAGGATTTCTCCTAGCGCAGACCGCAGACAGTGTGGTGGTGGTGTTTGTAATGGTGGTATCATTATTGTTATTTCCAGCATCAGAGTCTTCACATTAAATCATATTTCCTAAAAGCGACACCTTGTCAGGCAAGCCAGCATTGACCACTATATTAGCGTCAATTGACCTGCATTATTACTCTTACTTGGGCTTTACTGAACCATCCAAAATATTATCCCAGTGTACATATCAGTTGTTGGAAACTAGTTGGATGACTTAGTATGCGGACAGTACAAAGAACTTCTGCGAAGAGGTCACTTTGGGAACCGGTTTCTGCAAGTGTGATAAGAAATGAGGGAAAATATTGTTAGTGACATGGAAAATTGTATGTTTTGCGTGATCGTGGTTTACTGATAATTGTGTTTTGCGTGGTCAATTGAAATATTGCCGTATGCTTTTTGAATGAGCGAATGTTGTATAGAAGTAGTCTGTATAAACGTTCACTTCTGACATTTCTAATTAGGGCTTTTAATACAAATGTTTATATATGAAGTATTTGTATGTCAGTCTCCAACTAAAAGACATGAAGGGAATTCGGATGAGTGGGAGCGTTGAGAGCAATATAGCGGGACCTCTAGTAAGCACCACCCTTGGCCAGGGTGCATTAGAGACTAGTCTTTCTAGTCAGATGTATCCTTTCGGCTGCAGGAGGGCCGGACGCACGAGCTGTTAGAACCGGTTCTCATCTACCAAAGGTTACTGAATTGCCGTTGGTTGTTGTGCTTGACTCGGTTTTCACAAATAGATAGAAAGGAAAATGGAGATAGACTCTTAAGAAAAATGTTCCCAGAAAACTACGAAAACTATTGTGGTTCCAAACCCTCTTGGAAAAGGCGCTCGAAATTGACCGTAGATTATTTATTTTAAGAGATGATGGTTGATAGTGGTTTAATGTATTGCTTATATTGTATGTGATGTGATGTAATTGCAATAAGAAAAAATAAGGCGCCCGACTTTCAACGAGGTATACATTACGCGATAAAGACGAAGAAAGCGCGCCTGCTCCTCGGAGCGGTCTGCCATGCGCATCGGGAGGTCAAAAAGTCCTCACTAGCGTTTGGGCGCTCCAACGCTGCCTGATCGTCCGTGAGTTGCCGGCGTAAACAGGCGCGCGTCGACGCCCAAGGCTCCAGGGCGAACGCCCCGCCCGGAAGCCCGCACGAAGGTCTCCGCTCCCGCCGCCTTCTCCGTCCCCGCTATCTTTTCCATCCCGCGTTTCTCTCCGTGTCAGCCAGCCTCTCCTCATCGTCCTCACTATCCCCGTTTTCATTGTCTTGCAAAAGATTTTTAACTTTTTATCTTCTGAAAAGCAATCGCTATGTCGCCTAACACTCTTTTCGGCACCGTATCTCACCATCCACCGAGAGAAGAACATTGCTTCCCATGATCAGCATGCGGGGGAAAAGATCCAGTAATGACGCGCACGGAAACTCGAAATAATCAAACACCTCTCTCCCCTAGAACAGGTTCTTCAGGTCCCTTTTCACGAAGTTTGTCCTTTTTTGATCGAACGAGAGCAAATTATACATCTGGTTTGTGTTGTGAACCGTTGGTATAGGAATGTCTGAAGTATCTGATACGTTCCTGATACCTTTGATACGTTCTCTTGATAGGTATCTACAGCAATTTCTGCCTTGTTTTCTGCTATGTACAGTTTTCTTGTTATTGCATGTGTTCTTCACCTAGCCTTCAATACATATCCTTCTCGTCCGCTGTCCTCGCCGCCGCGCGCGACCTCGAAAGCCCCTCCTCTCGCGGACAGGAAGGGAGCGGCAGCGGTGGCCGGCGCCAGTGGCCCGGGAGCCTTCAGCCGCAAAGGTAAAAGGTAAAGGCTCTGCGGGGCCAAGTACTCCTCACAGAGTCACGTGTCTGCGATGTGGGCGAGAGCTGCACACTGAGAGACCTTCAGCGTTCGACGAACATGATGTCATGGGCCTAGAGCTCTGCGCAAGTGCATGTGGCGAGTCGCGAACCGGGCCTCATGGTCACTGTTTTGATACGCGAGCGAATCGTTGTGGACCCATCGGTGGCTCAGTAGAAAGTCGTTGGTAAACAGACCTATTGTATTCAGTATCAATATGTTGAAATTAATGTTAGGTAAGTAAACGTTTAATTGACCTTTATTCTTCTTTGTGTATGGAAATACAGTGTGGCGTCTAACATTACTACAAACAATGGGATAATATTTATTGTCATTGGTGCATAAAGATTTATAATTGGAAGGAATACTTTCAAAATTGCATTTCATGTCATAGGGATGCGACATAGCGAACGAAAACCCCTGTTTCAAAACACCGATGTTCAAAATTAGATTGTCAAAGTCTATAGTACATAGTACCTTAGTACATTAAAACCATCGATAGTCTAACGCTATCGATGGTTTTAAAACTGATTTAGTAAGCCCTATCATTAATATCTTCTCGGACGTGATGGCGGTTTCATTTTGACAGTGTCTCTGTTTATTAGTTTATATCTAAGGTTTAACTGACAAATCAACTTAAAAAATAAGAAAAAATAACGAAACTTTTATCACAACATTGAATAATAGAGCATCAGGTTCTACGAAACAAGAATAGCGATATTAATTGGGTGCTGTCAAAGAAATCGTGAGAGCTATCCAGAACAGGCAATATATGCAAAACTTCAATGCCTTCTTCGTACGAAATAGATAATTTTAGAAATATCCACACACTACTAGACACACAAAACGCGTTAATGAAATAATTTAAGGGTAGTGGGAACTGATCTATTTTACCTTTGGTAACAACGACTTCAGAGATCAACCATTACCAAACACCAAAATTACCCGTAACCTTCACCCCCCATACACACACACACAAAATTATTTTTCTATACCTCGGCAAGTGCCAAGAGCACCGGGTGTTTGTCATTTCTCCCGCTAAAGGTGAGGACAACGTTACACTATTTAATCAAAAGCAAGATGGTAATCGTTAAAAACATTGCATTCCTAATGAGCAATTGGCTTGACATTATTGTGCCTTTTCATTCAGTTCATTACATGTTGTTACTATTTCCTGAAGTTGACCTCTGGAATGATCTGAAAATGCTAATTTCCCCAAGTTTCTAATTTCCCAAATCGAAGCGATAAACTTCGGAAAATATTTCGTTACTTGAAAACATGAAAATATTATTGCAAGTCGAAAACGTTTAATTGTATGGACGTTTTTAATTTCACGTTTTGTAGAACATTGTGATATTTGTCTTTGCTCTGTTTACATTTTATTTCACCTAGCGATATTTTGGGTTCGCGTGGCTTTAAAACCCTAACTTCCTATCGAATCATTTCTCACATAGACATTGACATTCATTCGATCCTGATCATATATTACTCAAAATGTAGCCTTTTAAATACTGCTATAATTGTATACAACACTTACGGTCTGGTAAAGTGTATATTCATATCGATTTAGTCAAAAAACCCTTTGGAAAAACGCCCGTTCATAAAATTCATCTTCGTTGTGTACAAGGTTTAAACTTTATTTATTTCTGTTTTTGTATATTCTTCCAGTATACTGTGATAAATCACGTTAGTGTTAAATTAGCATTTGAAAGATGAAAAGGAAAATCGTGGAGGTTTCAATTTATCCTTCGGAAAGCGGAAACGTATTCGGTGGGAGGTTTGTAGAGAAAGGTCAAGGTTGTATTTGGTACAGTTTGGTGTGAATACTAAGAGAACATTCATACGCAATACATTTTAATTCTCAGGATACTTATTTATTTAAAAATTAACCAGAGAACTTTTAGAATTC